CAATATTCTATATCAATTATTATGTTACATCAAAATAATTATACTGATGACATTGTTAAAATACTTCTGTCTACTGTATAATGCCATGCAAATAAAGGGAAATTGTTCAAAGAAACTTGCTGATTGCAATGATTAACTAGCAAAATGTATTACATAAGATGTTTGTGAATGTTGCCAATCGAATATGTCCAATTAACTATCTTTGGGATGAATGTTTTATATAATTTAACAAACTATTATATTTTACTTAATGTATTCCACTATTTTTTCCCCGCTAAAATCAAATTAATAATATTTTTTTTTTTTTTATWATTTTGTACTTTTCAGATCTGTATTTAACATTTGACTATACTACTGTAGTAAAATATGTTTATACTTTCTTATATAAGTTGTTAACGAACAATAATACAATTTGTTTCTTTTAATTTTTTTATTAGAACATAAACTGATTGAATTTGAATATCATGAGTTTTAAAACACATTGTTATGTGTTTTATATTTCGCGAAAATGACTTGATGTATTGACTGTATGATATACTGCTTAATATTTTATTATTTATTAACCAATTCGTTAAGATGATTATATAAAATATATAAATAAATTACGGTAAACAAAATACGTTTTTATTAAATTTATTTCAATTTAACAGATTGATAGTTTTTTTTTTTTTTTTTTTTGTTATTAATAATTTGAAGAGCTATTTATTACTTTTCTTTTGATGATCGTATAGAAGAAATAACTAAAAAATAGTTAAATTATCTATAAAAATCACAATCTTCTTAAGTCTTGGATCTTAATACTAAATAATACTACTTAAAAACCCACCAAACAGTATTAGGAAATAAAAAATAAATAGAGAATGATCAAAAACATGTCTTTCATGAATCAGTATTGTCTATTTAACTCTAATCTTATTATTATTATAATAATTGGTGTATCAATTTCATCTTATTCGGAAATCATTTGCATAAAAAAAATACATTTTTGTTTATTTAACCACTTACTATGATAACAACTCACACTCAATARTGGATATTATTTTATATAATTGTTGATACTYGATAGCTTTATAGATATTAGACATATTATCAAAATTGACGTCAAATGTATAATTTGTATTCTATTTTATACGTTAAAGGCATACGCCAAGGTAATTTTTATCGTAAACAAAAAAATCCTTCCTCTCGTGGGTTAAAAGAGTCTAAACCGAATCCGAATGCACACGTGTAATAGTCTTAATGCTTAATAATATACTATTACCTCAGTTGTTTGCTCATTGAGAATGTGTTTACTGAATTATACATTGAATTTATATCAATACGTCATAATAATTAATAATACAGTKTTCCTGTTTTTATTGCAGAATAATATTTTGGGGTCTGTTCAGCCAAAATACATACCTACTGCTATTATAAGTTAACAAGAAGTGTATAATAATATAGCACCTAAACATACCCGTCTATTTAAAACCCGACCAGTTATCAATACCTATACTATTTATTAGGGTGTAGGACCTACACCGTAGGTATTGTGTGGTTTAATGGTTATTATTCAAAATTATTGTTGTTCCGGGAAGCTGCTGATTTATTATTTGAATTCCGGTAGTTTCCGATTACATTGAGCCTTCGAAGATTATTCCTATGATTAAATTTTATAGTTTATAGTCAAAATATTAAGAGTCAAATAAAATTATAAAAATATTTGTTTCGTTGTAGTTTGGATTCCACATTAAAGCCACGTTGAAATTAAAAAAAAAAAAAAATTGTGTTTAAGTTTCAATGTTCAAAGTAAGATTTTCATGATTCTATTTATTTTTTACGAGTGCATTGTACTTACCCACAGTACCAACAAGGCTTTATTTATATTTTGTATCATAATTATTATATATGTATTACTCGTAGGTTTAATTTGAGGATGATTGTTTATGTTTTACATGCCCAAGAGAGCATACTGTATAACTAGGAAATTACTACTAAGTAAATTACCTACTTTTAATTCAATTTGTTTTATAATCCACAAAAAAATCATTATGTATTTATGTGTTAAATTAAGATGTAAAACAAAAGTAAAATCTTTTTTTGTATTACTATTTTTCTTTCTTTCTTATTGTATTAAGTATTTTGTTTCCAAATAATGCAGATTATTTTWTGTGAACACTCATTTTCTTAATAAAAAAAAAGATTCATCACCTTATGAAATATATATTAATATGTTTTTTTGAATTTCAACACACAGGTACACAAAAACGAACTTAAAACGAGTAGTTTTTCAGTTATAAATTATTATTATACCTTATAACAAATATAATTTCATAGTTAATATTTTTTAGCAGTTTGTAATATACTATTGTTAGCAAAACAACTATACCGATGTTTTTAAAACTCACAGTGGTAATTCTAATAAAATGTTCTATTTAACATATATGGTTATTCTTTTGTTACGAACAAATTTAGTATTCAGGTTTTAAATTTATTTTAGAATTTTTTCATCTTTAATTTTTCAGTAATTGTACAGTAACTGATGAGAAAAACCCATTGCTAACTACCAACTATAAAACAATTATAAATATTACCATATTACTTTACTACAAAGTTATCACAATGGATTTTGGTATCATATCACTAAGAACGCTCCAACAGAAATAATTAGCAACAAATAATAACATTTCTCTTTTAAAATTGATTATTATTTAATAATAAAATTACACAAATTGAATTCCTAATTATTTTTTACATTTTAAATGTATATAAATTATTGTAAAATGTAAGTATAGGTACATTATTCAAATAACTAGTTTCTTTATTTTGGTTAAATAATGCACGTCATATTTAGTTGTATTAGTTGTTAGGTATTATTGTTCATAATTCCATAAAGTTATAATTCGTTTAACTCAGCTTAAGTATAGAATATAATACATAAGTACCTGCTTTATGCCTTCATTCTGAAAAAGGTTAATTTTGAACTCACTGATTCAATAGTATTATGCAAAGGTTATCAAATATCTATCTCTGTGTAGTAAAATATGGATATTCTATGATTTAGTGAAATAGGAATTTACTGATCCAAGTTTGGCAAGGAATGTAATACAATCATATAGGTCAAACATGGGCAATGAGTAAACTAATGAATTAAAATTGAAAGAGTAAAATCGATTTAACGTATTTAATATTTATACGTTGTAGATATTATATTAAGTGTGTTTCGTCTCTAGAATAATGATTAATAAGTCACATTCGACTAATTATTCGGTAACATCGAATTATGAATACCAACCAGTATATCCCACGATCTTTATTCTTTTACGCTTGTTATATTTAGAACGTGATCACTGAGACAGTATCAAGTGTTGAGAATAATTGGTTATAAAAATATATAAATATGTATCGGTGAGTTTTGATGATAGCAAACAACTACAATCCGGGATCGTGTCAACGTAAGRAATTACAAAAAAATAAAGATAGTTTTTATTTCAAATTTTATTGTAAAATCAGTTAACAAAAAAATAGCTTTCTACTACGTCATTAAATAAATATATAATTAATCTACAATTATGCTGTGAAATATTTGATCAATAAGTTCTAAATTCTTGAATCCTGTTTTATTTTTTTTTATTTTAGTTATGTTATAATATTATAAGAGTCAAATTTCTTCAAGTAACTAAGATAATTTATTAATTATAATATAATAAATTTATTTAAATATGAGATATTAAACATAATATTATGACGTCTAATGTAACACTTACAAAAATCCCATACATATAAAAGGGTATTATTACTATATAGATTGAATAATGGAGATGTAGTGACTTGATATTCAAATATTGATCTAAAGTGAGATATCTCTAGTTTTATCAGTAAAATGAGGTGATTAAATTGTATTTGTGTTTGGTATATTGTTATCAAGCAATTGTTTGGTAACTATATATATGGTTACCGAAAAGTTGAACCATGTCATTGTTAGTTACCACGTTTTATATGCAGTTATATAAGTATATTATTTAATTTAAATTTAAAATATCCATTACAATGACTCAATAAATTACGAAGTAATCTCAATAATTTGTTTAGATCCCCACACGAGTCTTCTTGGTGGCGATCTAGAACAAGTGGACGTAGGGACAATTGAACGTCAAAAAAATTAAAACATTATAGTTAATTATACTGATCATTGTAATATGTTTTATAGTTGGTCAAAAATGTATATAAAATATTTTAAAAAAATGTTGTTGAATGTCAAACATATTTATTCATTATACTAATTATATTTGTTACAATACGTAGAAAATATAATGTATAAAATATATCTAAACAATTATTAATATCAAAACTAGTTATTTATATTAATTATATTATCTTGTATAATAGCATTAAAAAATTATCATGATATTTGATAACAATGCAGAAAAATATTTTGAGCTTCGATGATATTTTAGTTTTAGTTTTGTAACTTTGAACAATTTTTAAAATGGTTTTATGATTAATATACACCTATGAATAAACCAGGATTGGAAGATCTATTAATTTTCAATTTTCTAAATATATTTTGATTATTAACTGTTTTACCTAATAATAATATTATTTATTTAATTTATTTATATATATAAATATTTTTTTTTACATCCAAATGGCTTCGTACATTTAACCTTAATCGTTTCAGTGGGGCTCAGTATTTCATATGTATACCTATGAATTTAAAATAATAAAAAAAAATCTACAACTATACAGAAAAATTATTTCTTATAAAATATGGCACATGTCCAACAATGAAATCTTAAATTTTAATGATAATGTCCAAAGCCGAATTTCTAAAATGGGTGAGAGGAAAGATCCGCTTATTTAAAGAAACTGTTAAAACCTCCCCACTAAAATATACTCAGTGAGTTCTATAACATTTACAATGACTACTATCTGCGTATTTATTCTCATATAAAATTATTTAATAACACATATATAATTTATGAACAATATTAACAACTTAGAACGTGCGTAACGCTTACCATGTTTATACTGATTGTTGCGTTTTATGACCGATTCAGCGGTCTTTCGGGCGATAAAGAACCATTCACTTGTGTTGGTCAAGTACTTGTACTCAACGGCCAAGTCCTTAGCCAGTATTCCCTCGCCTTTTGGAAGCCTGTACGCGTATGGGCAGAACAGCTGATAGTCTTTGTACTGGTGCTGATCGTAACAATTTCCAGCCGCGAATATGTCATCATCAAACTCCACCATGGAAATTACGCCAGCATGCAGCAGATATTCTGAGGCCATGACTTCGGGACCAGCGTACTTCCAAAGCCTTGTCAACATGTTGGCTCTGTTAACAGCCACGTCGGCTTCCACACGGAACCGTTCCTAAACAATGCAAACTGTATTAAGTACTCGATAATATTTTCGAGTAACCTATTGGTGGGCTGCTTGAAWTAATAATTGTATTTTATACTAAGGAGTACGTTCGCCATCGATGCCATTAAGAATTAAAGGACATTTATGCATAATAATAATTTGGATAATATTATAATTTATTTTTAAGTTTTTTAGTTTCAATTTTAATGACAATATGAAAGGTCTATTATATATATTATTAAATGAATAACGTTATTCGGTATATATGTACGTGACTTTTACTTAAATGTTTAATTGTCTATTTCAATTCAGTTCCAAAATGGAACACTATAAAAACTACATATAATCCTCCATAATGATCCCGCGCATCCTATACACTCTATAGGTTTTTATGTGTGTGACAGTCTCACACACACACACATTTAACCTGACCCTAACCGACTGTATGTGGTCTTCTCAAATGCGTATATTGTTTAAAAGATCATATTGGTCCCACGTTCAACGTTTTAGTTGTGGGACTRGCTTTATCTAGACTGCATAAATCATCCCCAGCTTTTCATATGTGAGACGAATAATATTTTATGTATTATCTTAACGGAGGAAATAACGCGTTTTCCTTTTTCGGAATTGTACAATATTTCCAGCAAAGTT